AATAAAAATTTAAATTAAAAATATATAAACATCATAAATTACATACCTCACATATATATATAATATAATATACAAATACATTCTATCTTAAAATGGACAAATTAGAATAAAGTAGGCCAAATATTTAATCCTGGAATATATGAGAATGCCTGTCAATGTGCATACAAAAATAATTTATAAATACATAGAAACATAGTACACAGAAATAATTTATAAATTGAACATTATTTTTATTTATACATTATTTATAGTAATTTGGTTATTTAGTTCGTAAAAAATATTTCTATACATCGAACATATGACTTTTTGTTTTTGCTTAAGATTGTACTCATTAAATATAAGATTCAATGCATACAATAATGTTTTAAAATATTAATTATTTTGAGCTGATACAATTTGGATTTAATTTATATGTTACAGATGGATGTAGCTGATGATGCTGTCAATGTGAGAGGAGGAGGAGATCAAGCAGAGGCATTGAATGTCGAAAAAGCAACATTGAAGTGAGTATTTACTATCTATTTATTAGTTACATAAAATAAAATTATAGAAAATTATATAATTATATATCTGCTGAATATTGTACGTCTCAAATATCAAATTTAATATTCATTTTCTAGAAATATTTTAAGCGCTGCTACAATTTGGATTTTATTAACATGTTACAGATCAACATAGAATTCTGTCAACGCCTCTGACAACCTAAGAGGAGGAGATCTGGGAAAGGCATTCGGCGACAGCGGAGCAACTTTGGGGTGAGAATGTAATATTTATATATTAAATTGTAATTGTGTATTCAATCAAAATTTATTGGTTGTATTAAATCAAAATTTGTTAAATGTGTTAATCCAAAATTTAAAAAATTATATGATTATGTTTTTATTTATTATTGTATGAATGAAAAATAAAATTCAATGCGTAAAGCAATAATATTTTGAAATATTACTTATTTTAGACGCTACTACAATTTATATTCTACTTGCATGTTACAGATCAACGTAGCTTCGATGCAGTCAACTCCGCTGCTGCGCATCGGGTGGTGAGTGAATTACATTTTATTACGAGGTAACGGTTTTGTAGTGAGTTGATTGTAGATTTAGATTTTAGATAGACTGTAGATTGTAGTTAGTTCCGTTACCTCAAAATGGACAAATGGATTACAACAGATTAGATTAATATTTCACTTTAATATAAACAGAAAACATTTTGTAAGATTTAAACTAATATAGTTTATAAACATACTATTGATCATTAATTGCGTGTGTGGTTATAAATTCTTTAAATAATTATATAATCACTAATAATTTAATTTTATATATATACATTTTATTCTAATTTATTGTAATCCAATTCATGTGGATTCATAACTTGGCTCTACATTGATTAGAGCGATATATTGTAAAATAATATATATGTGCCAAAAGATATTTTGCGGTTATATTATCGCGACTGAAAGGAAAGCAAAAAGAAGTCGTGATTTAAAATTTGTAGTAGAATTTGTGGCAATATGTTAGACTTTCTATATACGCGTCAAATTATAATTTATTTTTTATTTCTGAGATTGACCGATTACACTGTCACTTATTTCGGAGAAAATAGCACGGCAAGCCGTATTAATTGTAAATAAGTTGCGGATTAACGACATACGAATATTGATAGAGCAAATATATGGACTTTTCGCGTAACAAGAAACGTAAAAGATTTCTCCTCAATTAACTGTAATTTATTTTTATTAATATTCACTTTAATTAATATTTATCAAAGAGGTTTTAACATAGGGACGAAAAATATTAATACTAGAAAATTAATTACTAATGAAGCGTCACTGCTAATGAAGACGTCGTCGCCGAAGAAAGTTTCGTCGTGGAAAAAGGCATCGACATCCGTGTCTGACACAGCATAATGACTCAATAAACTAGTGTGATAAACTATTCAACAGATTGATTCCGGCAATTAAAAAATCCAAGACACATTAGAATATCGTGCAAACCGTGCATTTAAATGCGGGTGCGTCGCGCAAACTGTCGCTTGTCAAAATGCGGGAATATCGTGCAAAGTATCGCGCGTTCAACTGCGAGGATATCGCGCAAAGTGTCGCGCGTCGAGGGTTTGTTGCATCATCGCTTAATATCTTAATTTTGTAATTGTCAACGAGAATATCGTACCGCCGATGCCGACTAAGTGGGATGTCTCATTGAGGCACGTTGCGTATGCAACGTTCTCATGCCTCTTGTGTCGCGGCACGAGGTGATGTCGGCCGCGTACGTATGTTCATGTACGTATGTACATGGATTGTGCGGTTTTGAGCTTAGGTTCAAATATCGGCTGATTGAGGTCACGCTCTGCTTCGACAAATGGTTCGACTCGAATCGGTTGGAGGAGGATCGATCGTCTTGGAATCGTCGCTAATGAGTCCCTTCTCTTTTACCGTTAGCAATACATACAATATATCGCATTGAGAGTTGACTGGATTAATTAGGCACGATTTTCGCTCGTTAGAGAGGTTGACCCCCCATTTTTTAAGTTGTATATGTTGTTGGCACTTAATAAATGGGGATTGTGATTATAAATTTTTTAAATGATTATATAATCACTAATGATTTAATTTTATGTATATACATTTCATTCTAATTTTTTGTAATCCGATTCATGTGGATTGATAACTTGGCTCTACATTGATTAAAGCGATATATTGTAAAATAACGTCTATATGCTAAAAGATATTTTGCGGGTAT